TATAAGGTAATAAAAAAGCTTCCTAGCAAGACACAGCACAAATGATACTTTATCTGAAAATTTTCAGACTGACAATGAAAAACTACAGCACAGGCTTAATGCTGCCATGGGCGGAAGACGGGCAACTCATGATTTGTCAGAGTCATAAATCTGACTATGATGTGACTTCCCCTGATACGTTACCAATGTTCACATGCAGTTTTCACTCCTATTTATGGCATTAAAACAAACATCTTATAGCTCCCCCCTCCTGAAAAGTCCCTGAAGAAATGTCCAAATTTCCTGGAAAGAAACCACCACCAAAGAACTCCATTATCCCTACATTTTAAAAAGAGAAAATCTTATCCATATTCCTTTTTAACCTCTTTAATCTGATTATATTTATTTATTCTTTAGAATTCTACATTATAAATTCTTCAGAAGATATTATAGAAAATCCTTCTATTTTTAATTAGCATACTACCTCTTAGTACTCTTCATAGTGTTAGGCACATGGTAGAATTAAGTATTCAGGTTACCAGTCCATTGCAGACATTTAACTAACATTTCCCTTAATCATTAGAAGTGTAGTCCCAAAGCAGAGTTCAGGTATTTCACAGAAATACTCAGACTCGAAAAAATATATTTTTCAATGTAGGGATAAAAAAGAAAACAGTGGTGAAAACCCTGAAAGAAAGCAATACAAATTCTGCATTTTTACAGTGAGAATATTAGCATTATATTTTTAATTAGAAGTAACTTATAGTCATTATACCATGGAAATCAATAAACAGATTAGACACAAACTATAGTAATTTAGGTCAAAAGTGAATTGATTCACATTAAGAATCAAAATAACAAGAAACACATGCTAGAATCAGAGTATCGACATTCTACACCTAAAAACAGAACTTGGTAACACTGGGATGTGCTCTAAAGTGATACTATAGTGAAGGAGTAAAAACTGCTCCAAAATGAATTATATAGTCACAAAAGGGTTGAAAACAAACAGAGCTGACAATAAAATAACCTACTAAAGTTGGATTATAAGGCATAAACTCAAACACAGCTTTCAGAGAGTTGTGTCTATTTATCTGAGCAGCACCGAAACAGGACAAATAGGCAAAGCAATGATATTTAGTTAGAATGATGGGGTATACAACCTGAACCTCGGGGCAGACAGGTATTTGGGGGGTTCTTTGACTATTTCATCTCATTTTGTTTGAATTTAAGCATAGAGCCAGGATGCTAGAACCCAAGTTAGGGCATAATCCAAAATTTCTAACTAATCTCTTCTTCCAACACATGCAGCTGAAGCTGCAATACAGCTTCTTGTTCCTTATTTTAATTGACATGAATGGATAAAGAAAAGAAATGGTAGCAAAATGAAACATAGTGAGGACTAAATGAAAATTTTGGATATGGTGAGAGCACTGAAGATCACAGATAAAGATCCAGCCCACATCACTGTGAACGCGATCTTCCTACTTTATGCTCTACTAGTTCAGAAATGACCCGACACTACACCAGCTGATAGGGGTGCTACAGAGAGGAAGGAGACAAAGTCTGGGTTCCAGTTGCTTAAAAACTAGCAGGGCAGTTGGGTCCAGAGTGATGCCCACTCTTTAGAACCGGTAGATAAAAAGACAGCTGGTCTGTGAGCACTGCTCCCCATACATCCTCAGCTTTGCTCTCTACACATATCCCCAGGTACCTTGCCCAGGTTAAAGTTAACAAAACGAACTACCTTCTAATGTATGAATGCACTTAATTATTCATCGTCTGGGATTGGATGATGTAATCTCTAGGATACCTTTGCTTCCAAAATTTAAATTATTGACGCTTAACTCTATGATATAGCTACTATTATAGTTGCCCTTTTTTTTCCAGCTTTATTGAAATATAATAGACATACAACACTGTGTAAGTTTAAGGTGTACAACATGATGATTGGATATACGTATATATTGAGAAATGATTACCACAATAAGGTTAGTTAACCATCTATCACCTCACATAGTTACGTGTGTGTGTGTCCGTGTATCTGTATGTTTCTGTTGTGTGTGTGGTGAGAACTTTAAAGATCTGCTCTCTTAGCAACTTTCAACTTTCAGTAACTTTGTTAACTATACTCACCATGCTGTATATTAGACCCTCAGAATGTATTTATCTTATAACTGAAAATTTATATCCTTTGACCATCTTTACCCATTTCCTCTACTCCTCCTACCCCTGGCAACCACCAATCTACTCTCTGTTTCAATGAATTAGGTTTTTTTTAAGATTCCACAAATAAGTAAGAACATACAGTATTTTTCTTTCTCTATCTGACTTATTTCAGTTAGCATAATACCCTCAAGGTTAATCCAATGTTATTACAAATGGCAGGATTTCCTTCTTTTTTTATGGCTGAATATAGTATTCCATTTTGCGTGTGTGTGTGTGTGTGTGTGTGTGTGTGTGTGTATAAACGGACACGTATATATACACTCATATATACCACATTTTCTTTATCCATTCATCCATCTGTGGATACTCTTTTTAAAAAGAAGCTTTAAAAAATAGACCCAGTACATGTGCAATTCTCACACATACCTTATGAATATGAACACGAGGTATTTCAGGCTACCCTCTCCTTTTCCTCAAGATTTTCAAAGTACTCACCATAAAAGGAAACAGAATTAACTAGAACGATCACATTTGTTGTATAAACATATATTCTAAGTAAAATATGCTATTGGAGTCTTTTGCATTCATGATGAATAAGTTTTACCTTCACAAAGTATGTTTAAAAAGAAAATCCCAAGAAACAATTAAGAATTAGAGCTAGTGAAGTACAAGCCAGCAATGAAATATCATGTGACCTCGCCTGCACTGTTAGATTTCCACTAGCTCCTCTAGAGCCTCCTTATTTAAGAGGAGATCGATCTAAGCTTCCTCTGGAATCTAAAGCTGACAATATGAGACTGATTCCTGAAGAAGTCAAGTCTTAAAGATACTTTTAAAATGCAATCATTCCAGCCACAAAAGCCAAAAAAACAAACTTAAGTGTTTAGTAAAAATTAATATTGCAACACTCACTGCCACACTAAATAAGGGTGTTAAAGCCAGAGTACCAATATTACCAGTTACTTCTCTGCAAAGCTTAAACTGAAATTCAATTATTTCTCAGGAGAAAAATTTAGGAATAGAGCCTCATAGACAAAGTTTACTCAAAATGGATAAATTGAAAAAACAATTGGTTCACTGAATTCGGATCATTTCCCATTAGAAATAAGAAATTACGTGGGTTTACAAAATCATTGTAAAGTTGTATTCAAGAGTTCCCATTCCTATTGCAAATTGGAAGAGATTTACATGGTATAAATATTAAAATACAAAAGGCATACGGCATCTTCAAGAGTGAGAGGCGTTGAGATTAATAGAAAGATGCTTTAAATCAATTCCAAAGAGTGATTAATCTAAGTATTTCCTTCTTAAGACATGCTAAAGGAAAACAGCAAAATCGATCAGAAGCAGCCTTAGAATCAGTGGGTGGCCTGCGCCTGGCTCTGCCATGCAAAGGGCAATGGTACCTTGGATAACAGGAATGCTCAGTGTGCGAGCACAGGAGCCAAGCAGTAACTGTGGATGGAACAGAGAACTCTTCATGCCTTGGTGAACTGGATTAGAATATCTCTAATTTCTAAACCTACACTTCAGGGTGAATGAGAGGACATCAGTGATCAAAATGATTCCACAAGGCTTTACTTTGGCTCATACAATAGGAAGACAACTTGCATGGTAAACAAGGGCTGAATATATTTATTATAGGAGGACTTTCTGATTGATTTAAAGATACTCTATATTTACATCGTTTTTCTTAACATAATGATCACACCAAAGGAAGTACCAAAATGTTTTCTGGACCCACTAATGAAAAGACTTATGTCGAAGATATTACCTCTAACATCAAATACATAAGATCATTTGGACAATAAAGAGTGACCATATTTTCCCGTTTTCTCCTCACTACCCAAAGTGAATGCCAGCAATAAAATCATTGGAAACAACATCCGCACGGATGCCTTTAATTTATAGTCACCATATGTCTCTTTCAACACTGAGAGCTAAACATTCATAATCATGACATAAATTTTCATCATGCAAGGCATTTTCCTTACATTGTCCTTCAGATTTTCAAGTTTGGTTGAAAGGAAATTTAATTCATTGTCATTAGAGATGATTGAGGAATAAAGGAAACGTTACCATTATAATCAAAATCACCAAGCTGAGCATCTGCTCTGAGACCAAGAGTGAGGGAGACAGTGTTGAGATCTGACAGATCCTCATTTTCAAGAATATTCTCATACCTCTTGAAAAGAATTTTTAAGAAAAATTAAGGTAGCACATAATTAAATGGAAAAATGAGTGACAGAGTAAATTAATGAACGGAACTCAACGCTTGGGTGTAAGCTAGTTTCAACAGTCTTCAGGAAAAACAATTTAGATGAAGAGGAATCTGTGTCCCCCATGTCGGGGATCATTGTTGTTAAAGGTTCTGTCTCAAGTTCACAGCAATGCTTGGCATAGAGCAGACACTAACATTTGTTGAAGTATGAACATATGGATGAATAAATGGGGGAAGACCTCATGCTAGTTGAATAGTTGTGAATCAGCATGATTTCCTCAGGGGTTAGTGAGGATCCCCACCTTGACTGTTACTTAGAATACTTATTTTCAAGAATTGCAAAATAGAGCTAGGCAGGAAAATGAACTAATATTTTGGACCTGCTCTGACAATGGCAGTCTCTGTAGGTTCCTGAGTAGAGGAGTGACACCTAGAACTTTATTGACTATTTCTATGATGGATACAGAGCCACCATGTAGGATGATTTAGAAAGAGAAGACTAAAAATACAGATAAGTGTGGAACTGCACACAAAAGCATGTATACAATCTTACCTTACCACTGGATTTAAATGTGTCCACAGTAGATGGAGAGACAAGAGGGGTTAATAGATACTAAAATAAGCCACTTACTGCTGACCATGCATTTCTTTTGCACCGGGCACACAGCCATCCATCACAGATCTCATGAGAAGGGATACCATAACAACCTATAAAATAATCGAATGGATCCATGAATTAGGTCTTTTGCATTATGACAATATTACATATCTTAGCACTGAATAATAAAATCAGAACAACTGCCTACCATACCATTTCTGATTCTTAGAACAAAACATAAGCAAGGCTGTCTCAAAGATACTTTCAATTCTCATGCCTCATAGCTAATAGGATGGCAGTCCCAGGAAATATGAGCGTGTGAGTCTTAATAGTTAGTAATACTCAGAATAGTTACCATAGAGAATACTGATGATAATTCTTAAATAGACAATAATAAAATTTCCACACTGTCAGGTCTGGTCCGTGACTCATGCAAAACATATTTCAAAATAAGTTGCAATTCTTGAAGCGAAGTTTAAAAAGTTTTACAATAAAACAATAAACTAACTTTGACAGAATATTTTTTAAATTAATGTTATTTAAAATTACATTTCAAAAAGTATGTTTAATTAGCTTTAATTTCAGTGAGAGGGACAAAGGATTCATGGTTAGTGATGAAGGGATGTCTGTGATTCTACTTGTCTTTTCAGTACATGCCTGACTCAAAATAACTATTTGAGAGAAGAGCTGTGGATGCAAATAATATATGGAGCAATCATAGGGTACCAATAAACACGTGTTACTCTGACTTCCTGAAATACGAGGGTTTGGAAAGACTTAAATGAATAATTTTTAATATCAAAGTTCTATAACATTTGAGATGGGAAGAGAAAAATAACAGAAATTTAATTACCCAAAGAAAAGCCTATCATAGTTAACCAAGACCATAAAATGTTTTCAAGCACATGTTTATGAAATATTATGGCTGAATTGCATAGCTAGTACGTTTAGGAATCAAGATTAAATCCTAATTGTTTTTTGAAAAGGTGCTTTGCCTCTTATATACATGTAATAATGCAGGGTGAATATATATGTGTGTGTGTGTGTTACAAATCGATATAAATACAACAAGAAGGTTACTATGATTATATCTCAAGCAGATTACGTTCAAATCCCTTGGGGAAGCTGATAGTACCAAATTAATAATTACATGATAGACAGTGAGGCTATTTCAAACCTAATACAAGACTAGCATTGCTCTGGGGTAAATACAGAAGGTAATACCTATATGGTAAACCATTCATCCTACACTGACAGAGATACACCATACATAAGTATGTTAACAGAACATGTGATTTCATAACATTTTGAATATTAAAATGCTTTAAAATAGAGTTTCAATATATAATAGATCCATTTTACACACTTTAGAGGATTTACATGGCAAGTCAATTAAAAAAATGTATTTATCACTTATGCAATTATGTAAAAATACCAAACTGAGACAGGTATGGAGCCTAACCATCTCATCCTGGGGGAAACAACTGTTCCCCCTTGAAAGTCTTTGGAGATCCCCCTACCTTTACAAAGAATAAAAATTTAACTCAGTAATCAAATTTAACAATAATTTCCAAAATCACCAAAGGAATATTCATTTCTCTTTAAGAAATCACAAAGAAAAATAGTCATGAATCAACACCAGACATTAAAACTGTTTCTATAAACTATACTTGAAATAAGTAAAATTCAAGCATGTGAAAAGAGCCCCGCAATGACCACATGTCTGGACCCCCAAACAAGCAAATGAACAAACAGACTTGCCCTCCACTGATATTGCTTAAAACTGGATTAAAAAAGGATGATTATAGCTACTCATACATTCATTAGAAGAAACGTGAGACAGAATCATCTAACCATTAAGAATGCCAAGAGTTCAATGTGATAGATTTGACAGGTTACAAAGAGGAGAAATAAGGGCTCTGTGAAGCACTGAAAAGCCAGCGATCGAGGAATGAGATTCATTTACTTGCATGAACCCGTACGCAGCACTTTGCACAGGAAATCAGAAGACTTGTTCCATCCTCTTCCAGGAAGGCATTAGGTGGAGAATATTCTATATTTTCTTCACTATAAATAAAACACATCTCTGGAATGAGGGGCTTAGTCTTTCCACCCGAAGTAACCACTTCGTCTAATTTTGTCTCCCATCTAGAATCATTTTCTTCATTGCTGCTATCTGGCTGAAAAACACAATATTTCCACGTGAGTGAAAAACACAGACAAGAGCTCATCATTTGTCCTGCTCACTCAAATCCACTGACAGCTGTTCCCCCCACTAACTTCCAGCTTCCGCTCTTCTGCTTGTTCTCCTTGCCCCAACTATCAGCTTTTTATCACTGCTCCTCCTCAGGCTCATACAGAAGCTAAGCTGTAGGAACAAGACGATATTCCATATGTCTGCTGGCACAAGAAAGGGATAAGCTACTAAAACTATGTGCTTACATAAAGAGTTCATGGAAAACATCAATTCTGATGGTTTTCAGGGTTTTTTTTCACTTCTTTATTTGCACCAGGTTGACAGACCTGGTTTCATTTCCTGAAGAATATTACCTGGTAGCACCTGAAGGAGTGTTTCCAAAGATCTCAGTTTTAATCTGGGCAACAGTATTTAGAGAGTGTTTGAAGGTTTTGCTTCACCACAAAGTTTTAAAACAGCAAGACAAAAAGATCTGGTAAATGGAACTAAATAAGAAAGGATAATGTGTGAAACAAAATTATCACCTCTCACCAAAATATATGAAAAACATTTAGTGTTTATTTGAAATTCTAATTAATGAACCAGGAGCTTCTATTAATAAATTTCCCCCAAATTTTACAATTTTAGTAGGAATTTTTTTAATTATTGGGGAAATAGGCAGATTATGATAGAGAAATAAGAATCAATAAAAAGTTAAGTTTTTCGAAGAAAAAACAGAAATTTAATGACTAAAAAGGAAAACAAAAATAATGTTTGTCACTCATCAGTGCCACATTCAAAGATGAGTAAACTACTTCCTCTACTTACAAAGGTCTGGAAATGTGGCAAATCACATATTTTCATGTTCTGAAACGTCTGAACAGAATAACACTTAACTTACATGCGACTCTAAGAAAGGTGTGGTCTTGAAAAAAGTATTTCTGATTCTCTTAGTGAAAATAGAACACAAAACACAATGTTCATATCAAAATACTTTATAATATACAGTCATGTGCTGCATAACGACGTTTCTGTCAAATGATGGACCGTATGTGTGATGGTGGTCCCATAAGATTAGTACCATATAGTGAAGGTGTGTAGTAGGCTATCCCATCTAGGTTTGTGTAAGTATGCTCTGATGTTTGCATAACAACAAAATCGCCTAACGATGCATTTCTCAGAACATATCCCTGTTGTTAAGCAACACGTGATGGCACAATATCTTAAAATGGATCAAGTAATTCCATCCTTACTAGATTCCTAAAGATCATTTTGTCTATCTTAATGCTGGAGAATGTGGCCATCAGTGAGTTGTTATCAGTAAAACATATTTGGAATAATATTTGAAAACAACATCTTGCACAGCTGGCTGATGAGGGTGAACTGAACAATTTAGTTTCTATTGAGTCTTTCGCATGTTCTACATGGGAAGATGAAGAAAGAGTTTAAACGTGGGCCCAGAGCTTGACATTTGTATTACTGAGAGTGATATTTTCAAACATAAAATAGAGACTAGGTCTAAGTTCTCTCTGCAAGCTTCTATCACGTTTAAGCTTTAAGTTAGGTGTTTCTTGGTGAAAGAGGTAGAAAGAAAGATTGCAATTGCCCCTTGACTGAAATAAACCAAGATATTTAAAAACAACAAAAGACTGCCAGAGAAATATCTCTAAAGCAGCACGTAGAAATTCTGTTTGCTGTTTTATGATGGCCATAGCTACATAAGTATTAATGTCTTCCTTTTCGTGATTACCTTCCAATGATTCACCTATGTTTTGAGTCACACAGAAAGTGCAGCAGTGAAAGGAAACCTTGACAGCAACCCTCTCCGCCCTCATTACCTTGTAGTACGGCATGAGGAGAGCACAGATGGCACAGTGGGGCTCCATTCTGGCCACGGCTGCATTGTACTCTTGTTCAGCCGCAAAGTTTGGGGACTTCGTCTGCCAAAGGTGGACCAGCGGCTTCGCCCAAGACTCCGTTTCTTCCACTTCCTCCTCAATTGATGGAACCTCAAGCAATTCTTAAAAGAGAGGGCATGAAAACACACTGAGCATGAGACCCAGGGGAAAACAATAACCCTGGTTTATAAAAGAAGCAAACAGTCCAGAGTTTGTGATATCAATGTCAGACAGGAAACGTATTCTATCTTTTAAATACATTCTGAGAGAAATGGAACAAAAGGAGTCTCTTCTTCATCCTCCTCATCCTTCAAGGACTAGATCAGATTTGATGGCCAGAGAACCAGCCTCCTTTTGACACCTTCCCCACCCCTGCCAGGAATAACTAAAGTGCTCCCTCCTTTCAACTTCATTACTTTTGCATTTCTACTGCTACCATAATACCTCCCACAGAAAAACAAGTTTCTATGTCTGATATTATCTTCCGCTATTAGAGGAATTCGCTAGCCCAGTAACTGCCTTACCAATATTTTTAGTTTCCCCACATGGTTCAATAAAGATTTATTAATTGGACTTACTTTAATTAACTTTGGGGTTCAAGAATTCATGACAAACAACATTTACAGAGCACCAATAATGTGGCAAGCAATGTACTGTCATCACATGGATATAAAAGACAATCCCTACGTCAAATCTTCTTATTTGTTCGATATAATGCCCCCAGAGGGTCAAATCTCTTAAGCATGTATATCAGTTAACATGAAAAGGGCAGAGATCTACCCCACAAAAATATCAATTTACAAAATTTTATAGAAGGCCAGGAAAATACAGAAAGACATAACAGGTTAAGAGACAAGAATTCCTCGTGCCTATAGCACAGGACAGCATAACAGGGCAGGTGGCAGCAACCACAGCTATATGGAGGACTTATGTCCAGAGCTCTGACACTTTCTAAACCTCCCCACCAGTTGCTTTCACAGTCTTATGAATAAATACCGTGTAGTAATGTCCTCAAGTTCCAAGCACAGGAGTTTCTGTGAACCAGTGTGTTCTAGTCCTTGCCTGTTGGACTTACCAGTTTTAGAAAAAGTCAAAGCAGATTTGCTCAGGGGGAAACACAGAGAGAACTGAATGAGGCTGAAAATATGTCAAAAGACATCGTATACCAACTGAATAAAAGAGAACATTTCTGTTTCCATGTTGGTGGTATTATTATTATTACTATTATTATTATTATTAAGAATGGAAAATGCTTAGTACTCAGGCAGGGGCAGTGTTTGAAAACAAAACAAAAGGTAGGAACCTTTGCCTATATTTGCAGTGAAGTCATCTGACACTAAATGTAAACTGCTTCCACCTCAGTTTCCCTACAATACACAACAGAAGACTTACTGTGAAGACTAAGATTTGACAAAAGACAAGAGTGAAAATTTAACCAGGAACTTGAAATACCAAGAAGTCCAAAACTCGGAGGATAATATCTCCTACACATATACTAAAAATGGGATCTAAACAAAAAGAAATCCTTGGGTTTGAATAGTTGTTGCTACTTACTGGCTCATAATAAATTTATCATATCAATTGCTTTATTCTAAAAGATTGAAGCACAAACAAGACAGATGATGCTCTTATTCCTTTAGTTGGTCATAAGTTAATATGATCAGTTCTCAAAATATTTTAGGGATAGAGAAAATACTATTTTATCCTAAAAGCCTAGCAATAATGAAAAAAAAGTAGGGGGCAAGGACAATTCCTGACAATGGAGTGAGAGAACAGGAGGGTATGAGCAAGGCCTATGGCAAGACTTGACCTAGGAAAGCCTGATCCAACGTGAGCTTGTCCTCAAGGCTTCTCAACACCGAGCTGGTAGAGGAGCCTGCTCTACAGCTGTCCTTCCCAAAGATGAGGTCATACGCTGGCCCAAAGAGCATGTATCTTCTGTTTAGATGCTCTCCAGGCTAGATCATGCAGTGAACACCATAATTACATAATCCTCTATATTAAAAGCAGCATTTCAGCAACGTTGCAGAGCACCAAGTACAGAGACTTGTCTGTCAAGAGACCTAGCTTTAAATTCAAACACTTTGATTCAGAAGGGCTGTGGTTTTGGAGATGACAGATTCTCAAATGGTGATAACTCCTTTCTCACCCACTTCAGGGGGGTTTTTTCCTTTTTCATATTAAAATGAAATAGTAAATGTAAAACATCTTTTTAAACTCTAAAATGCTAAAGTCCTTTGTATATTCTAAAGTGATATATAAATGTATAGATTATTATGTAAAATGCATCTAATCATCTTATTTTCATTTGATCTGTTTGTGAATTCAATGCTGCAATATTTTATAAGGGGGAAAAAGAGACCCCAATTAATCATAAGTATATGATGATTATGATTCAGATTTTAATTTAGCTTTAAAAGTCAAAAATGTTGGCACATTCTTGAAGAGGAATATTTTGTCTTCCTGAAATTTCCTCATCAAATTATTCATCCCTCCTCTATCTCTAAGAACTCTTGTTTACTCTTGAACCACAGCATTGATTAAGCATAGACCAACCCTGGCTACCGGATTTATGAGATTCATATAACTACAAGTCTCAATCCCTTAGTGAACCAAGAATGTTCTGGGGGAAAGGTTCCTTCAGGGTATCTAAATACTGTCATCAACACGTAATTCCAAATGGAAACTCTACCTTTTAGCCTCTAAACACCTTCCTCTACTTCTGTTCCTAGTTCCTTTTCAGTGTACCTTCTTCCACTTACTTATTGAACAAGTACTTTCTACCTTACAACATATAGAAAAGGAAAAATGTTTTTTCCACTGTAGCTTTTAAATGTTTTTTTGGTATCACTATGTCTAGGAATTTCCTCTCTTCCTCCCTTTCTTCAACTACAGTTGACTAACAAACCTCTAAATGTTTCACTGTAATCTCATCAGTATATAATTACCTCACAACATGATGTATTCTGTAACGTCATCAATGAAAACAGACTTCTATAGATTTTTTAAATATCAAATTAGTTCACAAACATCCTCATAAAAGAAGAAGGCAGGGGCAGACATTATTAAACATAAAAAACATGGACATTGTAGGCATTTAATGAATACCAATGTTTCTATTACTATATCTTTTTTTAATCTATCAGCATACCAACAATCAGAACATTGTGCACAGCTCTGGGTCTCATCCTGAATGCCACAGTTTGCTGTAGAGTCGGAAGAGAGTGAAGTAAAGGAAAGATCCCTTGTTATAAGTGCATAAAGGTTTGGGAAATCTGTGAAAACGTTATCAGCGTAAAAGTCCCTTCTTTCCCAACTAAATTCTCAATAAGAACAAAAGGAGAGCTAATAGTATAACAGCAGTTCTCAAAGTCAGATCTGTGGACTCCAGGAGACACACAACACATAGCACGGGGTCTCACATTTACAGTGTGGGTGGAGATCTCGGGGGGCAGTTTTGCTTAACAATGCCTTGATGAAGCAAAAAACAAAAGTATCAACTTCTTTAGATTTGTGATGAAATGGGATGTGTGTGCATAAAGTACTTCTGCTGCACACTGAAATTCAGTAGTTATCTTGGGAGAAAAGCACATGTACAATTAGTTGAATCATAAGTTGAATGTGCTGTCTTTTCAGGGAACACCATTTTTACTTGAACGAATGACTAACAAACAAACTATAGTTATTCACTTGGTTGTCTGGCAAGAAATTTCACAAAAGTGAAAAGAAAGCCTGTCATTTTAATAAAAAACTATTGAGAGTATTTGTTAACAATGGTAAATTCAAGCTCATGAGTCAAAGTTAGATTTTGGAAACTTGTATCCACTATTGTGAGCTTGACAGCTTCCAAATAAAGCTGTTTCAGATGGGATTGACAGTGATAACATCAACTATAATTTTTAAATATTATATAAAGACACCTGTATAACTCAGATCTTTGTTTACAATGCATGATGTTACCAATTCATGCATGCATAAAAGAGTCACTCAAAGTGCAAGACAGACCAATGAATATTTAGCTTAACAGAGTACAAAAAGTTCACTGATGTGATTTCAGAGTCCATGTTGCAACTAGTCTTTAAAAAACTACGTTTTGTCAAGTTTTGGTGTAACGTCAAAGAAGAATATCCACAGTTATCTGAAAGGGTTATTCAACACTGCACCACTTGCAACCGTGTATCTGGGCACAGCCAGACTTTCTTCATATCCTTCAACCAAAACAACACCATGCAACAGACTGAATTCAGAAGCAGATAGAATCCAATTATTTTTATTAAATCCAATATTAAACACCTTTACAAAAAACGTACAACAGGGGCCGGCCCGGTGTTGTAGCAGTAAATTCTCGCACTCTGCTTCAGCAGCCCGGGGCCCACGGGTTCAGATACGGGGCACGGACCTAGCACCACTCATCAGGCAACACTGTGGTGGCATCCCACACAAAAAAAATAAAGAAAGATTGGCACAGATGTTAACTCAGCAAGAATCTTTCTCAAGCAAAAAGGAAGATCGGCAACAGATGTTAGCTCAGGACCAACCTTCCTCACACACACAAAAAAAGTAAAACAATGCCACTCTTCTCTTTATTTTTTATGGCTTTGGAAATTATTATTTCTTATGAAAATATGCATAGCTGTTTATGCACTTATTATTGGTACTTTTAAATGAACTAATATATTTAAAATTGTCCCTGCTTTTCCCTGTTTTAACTTCCAGCAAACAAGAATCAATAAGGTAAACCCATAGGAAGGGAAGGAAAGAGATAAAACTAAATGAAACCTCTTTGGGGTCCTCGAAACGTTCAAGAGCATAAGGAGTTCTGAGACCAAAAAGATTGAGAATCACCGACAGATACATATGTGTTTTCATCCCAAAGTATCAGCATCACAGAGTCACTGTTGAACAATATCGCCCTAATAAAACAGGTGCAGACGGTGTTCCACAGCCAGGAAAGAATGTCATAGAGTGCTTTCCTCAATCAACATGATGCTTAATCAGAAAGAAAACAAGTCAGTACCGCAAGAAGGCCTCCTTTTCTCTTAGCTCTTTCATCAAGGTCTGCAAGGTTTGCCAGCTACAGTAGAAAAAAAATTCTATGCCAATAGCACTTAATTTTCTTTTT